TCTCAATACTCTTCTCCAGCACCACAGCTCAAAGGCATCAATTCTCCTTCTATCCTCCTTGGTCATTGTCCAACTCTCTGATGCATAACAGGTGAATGGATAGAGAAGCTGTGGTATATTCACACTATGCTGTACTGAAAAACAAGGAACTCGTGCGATGTTATTCAAAATGGGTGAGCCTGGAGGACATTATGCTGAGTGAAATATCTCAGTCGCAAAAGGACAAATATTGCATAGCGCCACTGCTGTAAAAATGAGACTGATATCAGGGTTGGGGTAAGACTGAGAAAAACTGGATAAATTATGTATACTGCACTGAAACAGATGAGGGACTGAATAATTTAAAAGCGATGTATGATAGGGTATTATGGTTATCACAAGAGTCCACAATGACTGGGGTAATCGGGATGGGTGTGTCAGAGGCAATGAGATTGGCACAGGATAGGGTACGGTTTAGGGCTGTTGTACATTGAGTCGCTATGAGTCGCAAACGACTCGAGGGCACATAACAACAACAACAACAACAGTGGAATGTACTTGGGACGGTGGGAGGGGTGCGGGTGGATTGTGTACCCGGAGAGAGTCTTTTACTTTTGAAAGAGAGGAGCAAACTGGGGGGGAGGGGAGAGGGCTGGGCGGGTAGAGAAGTGCAGCAATGAATGAATAGAAATCCAAATTCTCTGCAAATGTTTATGAAAATTATTTTTTAAAAAAAGTAAAATAAGATCCAATTTGCCTACACAAGAGGCTTCCCACACACAGATGATTGTGAACGAAATAAGATACAGTTAGTCAGTTTACACTACTTGATGGCTAACAATCAGAGACACTCAGTTTACACTCAGCTTTCAAGTATATAAAAAAATACTTACCTTCCAGAATCTAACTATGCGAAGCTAAATACTCCAGCAGAATTTAGAAGAAGCCATAATACCAGGGATATCATTGCTGATGTCAGATGAATTCCAGTAAGGTATACCAAAAGAATGTCTATTTGTGCATTATTGACTGTGTGGATCACGACAAGTTGTGGCTGACATAAAGAATAGAAACTGGTCAAAATGCTGGCCAAGAAGTATGATGCCTTTTTGGCCTCTGAATCCCTGATCAAGCAGATCCCAAGAATCCTAGGTCCAGGGTTGAATAAGGCTGGCAAGTTCCCTTCTCTGCTGACCCACAATGAGAACATGGTGGCAAAAGTAGACGAGGTGAAGTCCACCATCAAATTCCAGATGAAAAAGGTCCTGTGTCTGGCAGTGGCTGTTGGCCATGTGAAGATGACAGATGAAGAACTTGTTTACAACATCCACCTGGCTGTCAACTTTCTGGTTTCATTGCTAAAGAAGAATTGGCAGAATGTTCGGGCTTTGTATATCAAGAGCACCATGGGCAAGCCCCAGTGTCTGTCCTAAGATACAGCTCAATAAATCTTACTGTTTATACCAGAAGAAGAATAGGGATCCCAGAGCACTTGATGGAGCTCATGCAGAACCTATACTTGGATCATCAGGCTATTATGTGAACAGAGAAGGGGAGCACTGCATAGTTTGGAATTGGGAAGGGAGTGCATCAGGGTTGGATTCTCTCTCCACACGTGTTCAATCTATATGCTGAGAAAATTAGCCAAGAGCTCAACTCTGTGAGGAGGAATGTGGCATCAAGATTGGAGGAAGACTAAACAAAAACCTGTGTTATGCAGATGACACAAATTTGCTGAAAATGAGAAGGGCTCAAAGCACTTACTACAGAAGATCAAGGAATGCAGCCTTCAGTATGAATCGAGTGTCAATATCAAGGAAACAAAGATTCTTACAACTAGACCAATAGGCAGTGTCATGATGGATGGAGAGGAGATTGAAACTGTCTAAAGTTTCATTTTTCTTGAATCCACAATTAACACCCTTGGCAAGCAGTCAGGAAATAAAAAGAAGCATTGCACTGGAAAAATCTGGAGTTAGGGAACTTTCCAAATTATTTAGGAGTAGTGATGTCAGTTTGAGGACTAAGGTGCATCCGATTCAGGTCATAGTCTTTTCAATTACTAGCTAGGCATTCGAGAGCTGGGCAATGAATAAGGATGACAGAAAAAGAATTAATGCTTTTGAGCTGTGGTGTTGGAAAAGACCACCAAACTCCCCATAGACGACCAAGAGAACAAACATATGTCTTGGAGATGGTGAAGCCAGAGTGCTTTTTGGAGGCAAAAATGGTGAGGCTTCCCTCACATACTCTGGACATGTTGCTAGGAGCTACTATTCCTTGGAGAAGGACATGATGTTGGGAAAGGTGGGAAGTCGGTGAGGGAGAGGAAGACCCTCAACCAGGCATGGTGACTGCTGAAATGGGCTGTGGTTTGTTGAAGTGTGAGGACAGTGCAGAATACAACAGGGTTCAGGTCTTTTGTTCATATGGTCACTATGAGTCGTACCTGACTTGATGGCACCCAACAACAAAAAATTGTAAAATAAAATGTTGTGAGTAGTTGGATATTATTCATATTCATCCTGGGAGACCTGTTCACATTACTATTATTCAAAATTTTGTACCAGTAAGTGAAGTTAGTAAGGAGGATGAAATTGAGAATTTCTATCATCTTTTGCAGTCTGAACTTGATCATCATGCAATCAAGAAAAATTAATGGTTATTTGTGACTGGAATGCAAACTTTGGAAAAATGAGTAAGGAATAGTATTCAGATTTTAAGGACTTCAAGACAGAAATTATGCTGGAGAGTAAATGATTGAATTTTGCTCATTCAATTCATATTCATAGAAAAATATTTTTCTTAAGAAACATAAAAGGCAACTTAACCCACATGCCACACCTTACAGACTACTCAGGAATCAGAATGATTGTTTCAGTGGAAAGAATTGTTGGAGATGCTCAAGAATATCAGAATTCAAAATTAGACCAGATGCTGATTGTGGAACACACCATCACTTACTAATGTGTAAGTTCAAAATGAACTGAATAAAACTAAAACAAAGCCACAAGAGCCAAAATGCAATCTTGAGTCTATCCCACCTGAGCTCTTGCGGGATCCTATAGATTTTTGTTATGGGTCCCTTTTTAAACATGTTATCAAATATTATTCCGTGTCTGTGGAATTTCTTTTCACCCTATTGAAAAAGGTTTTTTATGTACTAAAGGTTTTCCTTTTCAGAAGGTCCATTAATTTTTTTTCCTTTCCTCATTGTACATTTTTAAACTATGTTTGAAAGTCTATTCATGCTATAGATTGTTCCTGTTGGAAAGTCCCATTTAGTCACCTATGACTCATAATGACCTTACAAACAACAGATCTGAATCCTATCCTATGCAATCCTCATCATCTCTGACACACTTGAGGTCATTACTGCAGTCACTATGTCATCCATCTCGTTGAGGATCTTCCTGTCATCTGCATAATGCCCTTTGTTGTTGAGTCTTCCTGTGATCCTGATATGTTCCTTGTTTATCTCTGAATGCTTACACTGGTCCTGCTCTAAATCTAAGAAGCCCGGCAAGCACCACCCCTAACAATGGCAACATTTCTTTTTCTCTGATCTTCCAGATTTTGGTTTTACCCATGTGTAACTGATCGACCTTGGGTCTTTTTTGGTATGTTCTTGTTTTGGGCTTTTTAAATGGTGTGAGATGCGAATCTTATGTCTGTTTTCTGCTGTTAGAAGTGGAGCTTTTCCTAGAACATATCTTAAAGAGGTTGTCATTTCCCTGCTTAATGGACTTCATCTCCTAGTCAAATATACCATTGACTCTAGGTAGTGGGTTGATTTCTGGATATTTTTTTATTCCATTCCAGTGGTCTATTTGACTGTCACTGTACCAGAACTATGCTGTTTTAGTTACTACCACTATGTAGTAGGTTTTGAAATCAGGCAGAATGATGCTTCCTATTTTGTTTTTCATTTTCAGTAGATCTTTTCTTTTCTTTTCTTTTCTTCCTTTCTAAACAAAGTTGGAAATTGACTTTTCTACCTCCATGAAGAAATGCACCAGTGTCGGTAGTGGAATTGAACTTGTAGATTGCTTTGGGTAGGGTTGTCATTTTCACAAAATTTAGTCTTCCTGTCCATGAACATGGTATATTTCCCCATTTATCTAGTCCTTTTTTGTTTCTTCTAGTAATGCTTTGTACTTTTCTTTGCATGTGTCTTCTATGTCTCTAGTTAGTTTTATTCCTAATTATTTCATCTTCTGGTTGGTTATTGTAATTGATTTTGCTTTTATTATTTCTTTTCCAGTGTTTTCATTGTTGTTGTTAAGTGCCATCGAGTCATAGATGACTTATGAATGAAACACCTGAACAGTTGTATAACTTTTCTTTGTTACTGTGGAGAAATTAAGTTTGGTTTCATATGTTCATTTTATATCCTCTCACTCTTCTTCATTGGTCTACTGAGTCTAACAGATTTGTGAGAAATCTTTAGAATTTTCCAAGTACACTATCATATCATCTTTATATAGAGATAGTTTAACCTCTTCATTTTCACTTTGGAGACTTCTTATTTCTTTCTCTTTTTTCTTATTGCTCTCGTCTGCACTTATATACATGTTGCATAGCATCAGTGAAAGTGGTCTTCTTTGCATGGTTTCTGTTCATAAGGGGACTGCCTTTAGTGTCTCTCCAATGAGAATGATGATGTCTCTTGGATTTCTACATACGTTTAATTATGTTGAAGAAATTCCCCTCAATTCCTATTTTACTGGAGTTTTGATAAGGGGTGTTGAAATTTGTCAAAATCTTTTTCAGCATCCATTGAAATGATCATGGGGATGTTGTCTTTTGTTTTATTTATAGGATAGATTATAGTTTTTCTTTTTTGTGTGTTTACTCATGCTTCTTGTTATTATATACTGTCTAGATATCTACAACTCATAGTAACCGTATGCATACTAGCTTTGGACTCTGTCTTATCTTGAGCTGACTCTGACACACCCATTTTCCTTACTTCACTTTTCATGTCAATTCATCTTCTCCTCTCCTGTGTTGTCCCTTCACCATTCCAAAAATGACATCCTTCTACAAGAATTAGTCCCTCCTGGCAACATGCCCAAAGTATGTGACATGCTTACGTGACTATTATGAATCCCACTTGATAATGATGATTCTTTTGATATACTGCTGGAATCAATTGGCTAATATTTTTAAATAAATTTTGCATTTATGATCATGAGAGGTATCAATCAGTGTAGAGTTTACTTTTATAATGATGTCTTTACTTGGTTTTGGTATCAAGGTTATGCTTGTTTATAAAATTAATCTGAAAATGTTCTTTCTTTCTCTATAGTTTGAAATCTTTTAAGGAGAATTGGTAACCCTCTTTGAGTGCCTGATAGAATTTGATGGTGAAGGCCACTGGTTGAGGGATTTTTTTTGTTGAGAGTTTTTTTATTACTTGCTCATCTTCTTATTTTATAGACTATCTATTTGAGTGTACTAATTTAGTCAATTTAGGTAGGGTGTGGGTTTCTATGAATGTGCCCCTTTGCTAAAGATTTTCTAAATCTGTCAAAATATAGTTTTTCTTAGCATTCCTTTATTATCCTTTTAATTTTGATTGGTTCTTTTGTGACATTGCCCATTTCATTTATCCGAGTTATTTGTCTTTTCTTACCTTTACTCTTTTAAGTTTGCGAATGGTTTGTGAATTTTATTGATCCTCAGCAAAAAAACAACTCTTGGTCTTGTTGATAGTTTCAATTGTTTTTCTGTTGTATGTTCCATATCTTTCTACCATTTTGTTATCATTTCCTTTCTTCTAGAAGCTATTCTTTTTCTGTTTGTTTTTTTGGGTTTTTTGCATGCTGGGTTAAATAGTTGGTCTTAAATATTCTTTTTTAATTTGTTTTCTTTTAGATCCAAGATGGCGGCAGAGGCAGAGACAGCGTGGTGAGCTGCAGGAGCAGCGAACCACTTAAAGCAGGGCCATTATGGCCTTCCACAGACTT